TGAGGCCGAGATCTAGCCGAGATGTGGAGGCCTCAGGCCGGGCCTGGGGAGGCGCCTGGTTCGCCCAGTAGCCCGCCGCCCCAAAGTGGTTCGAGTTGCGGGCGGCGACGACGCCGACGCCGTGCTCCTTTGCCAGCCGCAGGGCCGTCTCCATCGCGAGGTTGCACACGACAGCGCCGAGCGCATTCCGGCCATCGATCACAGCTGTGCACCCCGAGCTCCGCTCCACGACCGGGCTCGCAACGCCGTCGACGAGCTTCGCCTCAATCTCGTTGGCGTACGTGTCGGCGCGGTTGGCGCCGTGCGACGGGATGCCGCGCGAGTCGGCGTAGGCCAGCACGTCTGCCGCTTGCGCGGCGTGGGCCGGCGCAGCGCCCGCCGCGGTGAAGCACGCGGCGAGGAAGTCAGTCAGCACGCGCCTTGGCAGCCGCACCGCGCGAGTGTCGGTCAGGCCGGCCTTGACGGTGCTGCCGCCGAGGCCGCGCCGCCTCCGAAGGCGAAGCACGTGCGGCAGCGCCAGGCCGAGGGCGAGGCCCAGGCCGAGGGCGAAGAGGGAGTGGTGGTGTTGCGGCGACGGCATGTCCGTCGGGTTGTGATGGCCGGACAAACGGTGAAGAGCGTCTTGGGCCGGAGTTGTGCGTTTATGTGAAGAGCGCTTGGCGTGGTGTGTTTTTGTGTGACCGGTCTCAATGCCCCACCCCCCTGCGCGCGGGCCTTCTAAGCCCGCGGGTAGCCCCCCCCCATCCCCAGGGCCTCCAGGGCTCGCACCTCAACCTCTCACAGGCCAGCGCACAGCGCCATAGGAGGTATTTTCTTCTCAATAACAAGGCTGTGAAGAGCGCGGCCGCCGACGCCTGTTTCCTCGGACGGAGAGGGCAGCAGTGGCGGGGAGGAGAGTGATTCGGGCAGCAACTCGGACGAGTAGGAATGCGAGGAGGGCAACGGAGGAGGGCCTGGGAGTTTAATGGGGCTCCAGCCTGTCTGGGTGTGGAGTCGAGGCCGAGGGAAGTCTCCACCCCCCGCCCCCCCAAAGATCTTTGGAACGTTTAGGTCCTCAATCCGTTGCGCTCCTCGCCTCCGTACTCGTCCGAGTTGCCGCCCGAACCCCTCCCGGCGGCGCAACCGTTGTGTTTGCGGCGAGTCCAACTGGGGTACGCGGATCGGAAAAAAAAATTGATCGCGCACCACCAATTCTTTTTTTGCGACCGAACGTCGAGCACGCGGGCCGCGCGTGTCCGTTGCTCGTCGTTCTTCGCTCGAGCCTCAAAAAAAGTCCCCACTCCGAGGCCCCCGCCTGGAGCTTCCCAGGCGCAGGGGGCTGTGTCCACCCGCCGCGGGCCTTCCCGCTGCCTCGTGTCCGTCTGCGTGCCCCGCAGGAGGGCTGCTGTGACAGCTCCCGAGATGTGTCGGGGCGCCTTTGTTATGTCGCCCCCTGAGCAGTTGAACCCCCCGGCCCTCAACATATCTGATATTTCTCGCGTTGACCCCTTTTATATTTTCCCCGGTCCCTCAGGGAAAGACACCCCAA